AGGATCAGAGACGTTCATGACTGCGAGACCCATGTGGGTCCAGAGCTCCTCCGGGTGATGTGGGCGATGTTTTCGGGACTCGAGCCGCCACATTGCACCCGTACCCTCGAGACGACAGTGATTCCGAGGGTCACGAGGACGAGGACGAGCCGGCGGGCCCCGCTAGCACCACTTCAGCGGCGGACGAGCGTGATGAGTGGAGCGACCCAGAGGACGTCCGTAGACGGAGTGGCGGAGATGACCTTTCAGGTTGATTTGGAGGAGGTGTGTGGGGGTCATCATGGGAGCCCTTTAGAGCGTCCGAGGCCTACGTCCACCATTTTGCTTCCCGCTGAGCGGAGACAGATCCTGGGTCTGCACCTTTGAGGGGGGCAGAGTCGGGGATTGGCCATCGTCCTCTGGGTCGCTCTGGCACGACATCATCCACCACTCTTCCCACTTCGGCGGAGCAGCTTCATCGACAGCCAGCCGTTGCAGATCGATTGCAGAGATTGGTGAGGGGCCCGGGACAGCGATTGGAGGACAGATTGGAGGGCGGTCCTGTGCCGGTGCAGGGTGACGACGGAGACAGACAGGGGTTGGTAGGTGGAGATGGTGGTGCGCTGGCCGGAGGTGGAGGCGGTGCCGAGGCTGATGCGGCGGTTGAGGGGATACCGATGGGCGGCGGAGGCGGTTTCAGTGAGTTTGGCGATATGGGTATGCCCCCGGGAGAGAGTGTGGGTCTGGCCCTAGGAGAGAGCGAGTCCCGTGGGGACATCAGTGTGGGTATGCAAGACTTATTTGGACAGATCAGCTTCGCGGACCCGAGTAGTTTCTCCCCTGCCATGCGCGCATAGGTGATGTTGGGGGCAGAGGGGGATGAGGACCGGACACCCCCTGGAGAGACATCTGCAGAGAGGCTGGATAGGCTTGATAGTCGTCGAGCGTGCCTCATGGCACAGAGGGACCCCAGGACGCAGGAGCTCGCCCGTCTTGCGGCCGAGGACCGACAAAGGCAACTGTGGACATTTACACCGGCGTCTGTTGACGTGGGGCCAGCTGCCCACACGGATACTCCGGCAAAGGTTCACGACACGACGCGGCGGGAGGCAGCTTCGGCAGAGGTTTCGAGTACGGAAGTGGATGTCCAGCAGGGGACGCACGAGAGCGGGTTGGCACCGACAGAGGAGGCATATTCGGAGCCAGTGCAACATCCTGCCGTGGAGCGGAGGCCAGAGGAGACATTGAAGGAGGTCGCGGGCGTGCCTCTGCCTGCAGGTTCAGTCGAGGGTGCCGTGCATATGTCCCCGGGTCTGGAGGACATACCGACGGGGCAGTCAGTGGGCGTTGATGATATTCGCCCATCGGCACAGGCAGAGGGGATAGCGCCGACCACCGGGGGGGACGAGGTCGTAGCGGGGACCGTTGGTGCTGGCGGGTCGGGGGTGCCGTCCGCGGCCGATCTGATCTCCACGTGTGGCGGGGGAGACCCCGCACAGGTGGACACGTGTGACGCGGATGGACAGGAGATGCCACAAACTTTGGTGGTTCGCACTGCTGTGGGGCCAGTGGTGCCACATCAGGCACTTTTTTTGGAGGGTTTTAGGCGTCCTGCACATGGCGGTGGCCCGGTCGAGGAGCGACGTGTAGGCACGGGCGCGTGCATACCCCCAGTCCCTACTTTTGCGCCGTCACGAACGAGGCCGAAGATTAGGCATGTGGCTACGCCTCGAGGCAGCCTCCCTTTTGGTTTTATGACCGCTGAGGAGTTGGAGGACCACGGCAGGAGGGATTTGACGGAGATCGACCAGCGCGTTTTAAGGTCAGTCCCGGAGGAGGGGAAGCTGCCTCACGTGCAGGACTTATCTTGGGGGCCAGCCAGCCCCAGCTTACCTTCTGGGTGTTCCGTCGCAGCGCCATCTGGCGGGGCTGCAAGGGGCTTACCTTCTGGAGGTTTCGTCGCAGCGGCATCGRGCGGGGTCGCAGGGGACTTACCTTCTGAAGGTTGTGTTGCAGCGCCATCTGGAGGCGCCGCAGGCCCTTCGTCACCGTTGAGCGCAGCTCCGAGGGAGGGCGGCAGCCTCACCCCGAGGTCAGTTGCCCGTAGACGGAGAGACACTACCCAGCGTGCGCGGGAGTTGCTGGACACCATGTTGTTCGGTCGCACAGATCGACCATGGAGTGAGACGAGACGGGTGACGACGGCGAGTGCTGGTCGTCAGCCAGGTTTGAGAGGGGTTTCCACGAGCGCGAGACGTCGAGATGTTGTAGCTGCAGGGTTTGGCGGTAGAGGGGGTGGCAGCGGTGGCAGTGGTGGTGACGGTGACGACAGACGTGAGGGTGCAGGCGGTGCCACGACGAGCGCAGTGGATCCGCCGCGGACGTACGGTTTGAGAGAGGCGTCGATTATTTTGGAGGAGCCTGATGTTGTTACACGACTGAGGCAGACCCGACATGTGCCCTTAGATCGACGTCAGGAGGGGGAGACTTCAGGGACTGACGGTCTGCCTATGGCACGCGAGTCACGCCGACGTGATGACCTAGCAGCAACAGCCATCAGGACGATGAGAGGCAGGAGAGTCATTATGGACGACGATCCCGACGAGCTTTCCGTCACTCCCAAGCCTCCCGCTGGCGGACGCGGCGGCCAGCGTCAGAGAGATCGAGAAGGCGGCAGGGGTCGGTCCCACGGAGGAGTTTCTCATCGGTCCCAGCGAGATCCGCGTGCGCACGACGATCGTTGACGGATTATGGACTTGCATTTTCGTGACTTTCTCAGTGTACTTTAGTTTGTTGTTATCCATGACAGACGTAGTGTCTCGTGAGGTTGTATTACAGTCCACTTTGCAGTAGGTGTTTTTCTGCGCAGACGTAGTGTTTTGTGATGTTGTATTATAGTGTACTTTGTAGTAGGCACTTGTCTCCTGTTTGCTACTTCGGAGATTGTAGCTTTCCCGTGTATTTTAGCGTGCTTTTTCGTCAGCATTTTCGGGTTGGTACTTCTTCCCACAGACTGGTGGGGCTTCGACACGATGTGTCGGATTTTTGCTATTATCCATGCTATATTGGTTTGCGTTTTGCTTCGATCATTACATCTTGGCATTTGCGATGTTTCTGTTTTCAGACGACGAGTGTTTTGTGTGCTTCCAGGCCCCTCATAACCCAAAACCTCCCGTACCCCCCCCCTGCCCCCCC